AGCACTGTTCTACCCTATCAGGCTAAGCCAGTTTCTTTATTAACCAATGGTATTCACAGCATACAGAGGGAATCCCACATCAACCCAGCAGTGAGGGTTTTAAACAAGGATGTCTCCAGTCTCAGAGAGAGAGAGAGAGAGAGAGAGAGAGAGAGAGAGAGAGAGAGAGAGAGAGAGAGCTGGCAGAGGAGGGAGTACTGGGGCCAAGCCTCCAGGGCAGCAGGGTTTCCTCCTTCTTACCTCCATAGTCGTATGCTTTATTCTCTTGTTTGTTCCAGAGATGGGTACTGAGCCATACCCCCTGTCCCACCCCACCCTTTAAACTTCTTGAATAACTTATCAAGTCACTCAGTGGAGATTTCCTGAATTCTCAAAGCTGCCAAGTGTCAGTGGTGAGGTCAGGCCCCTGCTGTGGTCTTTGGCTGGTGCCTTTGAAGGGACACGCTGTTCCTAAGCTCTGCATCCCAAGTTCTCAGCACACATGAATTATGCATGCAGGTCTTGCCTTGGCAGGAGCACATCCTGGCTGTCCCTGGAACCAGAGGCAGGAGTGCTCAGCCCCAGGCCAAGTGGCCAGGACCCAGAGCTTGCAGTAGCCTTTGGCCTCTTGATTTTCACCGGCTCTGAGTAGCAAGGTGAGCCACTGAACTGTTGTTGGCCTCAGACTGGAGAGACCAACCCTCACCTCATCCCCAGGAGTAAGCTAGAGGAAAAGCCACCATCGGGCTGCCAGCAGCTCCCAAGACACAGCTGGCGCCATCTTCTCTGTGATTCTCCTCATCCCCATGCCTGCAAGTCCCAGAGGCAGGAGTGACTCCAGGCCTGAGACACAGGGTTAGACATGATGGGCTGTGTTACAGAAGGGCACTGTAGAGCCCCAAGAATCCACTCACTGTTCAGGAGTCAAAAAGGCCATCTCATGTCCAGAAAGGAAGACAGCCTCACTGAGTCTGCATTACACACTGAAGCACAACTCTGATAAACAGACCAGGAAAGAGCTCACCAGGGCCCTGTGTTCTTGCCGGCCCTGGGAAAACTCAGGTGCACTAAGACCTATGGCAGGTCACCTCTTCCAACAGGTAAGTCTTAAAGACAGAGAAATGCCATGGGGCAAATAAAATAAATTGATAAGATAGGCACAAGCCAGTATGATCTTAAAGGGCCTCCTTTAGACTTAGGTGGGTTTTTAAATTTTATTTTTAAATTTTTAATTATTTATATATATGCATATATGTATACACACATGCACACATATATATGTTAGACTGTATGGGTAGGTGAGTTGCACATGAGTGTGGGTGTCTATGAAAGCTAGAAGAGAACCTTGGATTCCCTGGAACTGGGTTCACAAGTGGTTGTGAGCCACCCAAATACAGGTGTGGGGAATACACCTTGAGTCCTCTGCAAGCGCAGGATGCTCTCTTAACTACTGGGCCGTCTCTCCTGCCGCGGAGAGGTAGCTTTTGAAATAAAACCTGAACCACTCAGAGAAAGGTCCATAGCAGAAGGAACCACAAAGACTATGTCCCTAAAGGAGGCACACAGGCTGGTAGCCTCCTGGGAGAGAGAGAAGGTCCCTGGGTTGCCCTCAACATGGCATGGGCTGAGAAACGGCTAAGGCAGAAAGGAGACAGGAGACTGGTGTCCAGTTCCTGCAAGATTCTCCTCCAAAACCATTTCTGGAGACTCAGCAAAGACACTGTAGGAGGCACCGAGGTCCTTGTGCTCACAGATAAGCACTAGAAGCTGGACTTTAGATACAGTGCTGTCCTTCAAAGGAAGGGATGCAGAACCTGTTATCCACCCAGAAGGCTGGGAGCAGATGTGGTTAATTGAGCTGTTTGTGCGGTGGGAGACTACACTGGATCCCCCCCACCCTCTGGTTGTTTGTCTCAGTTTAATCTCTAGAACCATCTTTAGGGAAGGCATCGCGTGTGCTTTACAAAGAGTTTCAGTGTAGTCACAGCTGATCTTTATTTAGCTCACTTTGTTCCTCAAGGAGATTTATGTGTGCTTTGTTGTGCACATGGGATTGAGTTAATTATCACCAGGAAAGTTTTCACCAAAGTGAATAAATTTAAATATGACTAAAATAAATAATGTGGTGTATGTGTGTGTGTGTGTGTGAGAGAGAGAGAGAGAGAGAGAGAGAGAGAGAGAGAGAGAGAGAGAGAGACTCCCAAAGTTTAAACCAGCACCAGCTACTGAGGCATATTGAGCCAAACTACCTTCCTGCCTCCTGAAGGTGGGTTTTCTGCTGGCCATCAACCATGCCAGACACCTCTTCCTCTAGGCAGACAGAATCCCCTACTCAGCCACAGAAGGGGAGTGTGGCTGCCCCTAAGCCCCTCTGCCCTTGTGCAGCGTAAATACACAGAGGATCTAGATAGCAACATCTTCTGATTCAGACAGAAGCAGAGAGAAGGCAGAAATCAGAGCCCAGTGATGGCCAGATTCACAGCCCAGGAGACACCACTGAGTGAGAGTTGACAGAGCTGGAGGTGACCTGTGAGGTTCATTTGATGAGCTTGGTGGCATTCCTGACAGAGCATTTAGAAAGGACAATGACCTCAGAGAGGAGAAGGATCCTCTCATGTGTCTCTCTGTCCAGGAGGAGGTTAAGACCAATAAGAATGGGTGCTACACAGCTGGCTTGCCTCCACCCAGCCTCTCTCCTCCTCCGGAGCGCAGTCAGGAGAAGTCTGGGTTTCTAGTGGGCAAGGTCAGGCCTTCAGGCTGAGGAGCCACTAAATGCCATGATCTATGGGGGCATACTGTAGAAGTAGCATTGCTCCGTGACCACAGCCATGGGAATGGGTGAAGGACATGTTCAAGTGACTCCTCAGACATGCATGTCTATAGCAGCTGTTTTCATAAGCACCAAAGAACGGAAATACCACAGATGTCCTCTGATGGATGTGTGGTTAAACTAACGGTGGTGCATCAATAAAATAAAATACTACCCAGCAATAAAAAAGAACTAACTATTGCTGCTATGACAACCTGGATGAGTCTCCTGGTAACCAGATTGATTGACGTTGACCCCAGAGGGTTATTAGTCATGCTTCCGCAGGTAACACTTTCCTGAAATGACAAAATTACAGCAATGGAGAACAGATTACTGGGAGGTCAAAAGCATTGTTCACTTTAGGAGAAAACCTGGAGAGTGTGTAAATACCGACAGGTGGATGGTGGCCTCGGTCACCATCAAGGCTAACACAGTACTGACTGAAGAGGGAGGTCTGGAGGAAGGGATCTCAGAGGGATTCTATGTCCCTACACAGGTTTAAAGCTTGTAAATGATCAGGGTGGAGCTGCAGGAAGAGAACAATGATGGTGAACATTTAGCTTACAGGAGGCTGGGGTGCCGGGGCAGACTAGAAAGAGCTTTGGAGAGATGCTCCTTAGGGTAAAAGAACATTGCTTACTCTTTTTAATTGGGAGCCTGAGTCTTTAATGGACAGGCCATCTCTCCAGCACCATCTATCCTTTTTGTTAGACTGCAGGGGGTTTTCATTTTTAAAATTGTACCCACACACATTCACACATATGTGCACACACACACACAGGCATGCACACATACCTCTGCACGTATAAGGCTTCATGGCCAAAGTGCAGAGAAGCAATGGGTTCTGGGTAGGCTGAGGAAGTGCTAGGCCACACAGCAGTGGTTCTCAACCTCTGGGTCGAGACCCCTTTGGGGGTCCAATGACCCTTTCACAGCGGTCACATATCAGATATTCTGAATATAAGATATTTGTATTATGATTCATAACAGTAGCAAAATTACAGTTATGAAGTAGCGATGAAAATAATTTCATGGTTGGGGCTGGGGGGGTCATCATGACATGAGAAACTGCATTAAAGGGTTGCAGCATTAGGAGGGTTGAGAAACACTGCCATAGAGAAATAGGACCCAGTGGGTAGTTCTGGGCACTGAGACCGGAAGCAGGTATTTGGACTGTGTCATAGTTAGCATTTGTATTGCAACAAAACACCATGATCAAAAAGCAAGTTGTGGAGGAGTGGGTTTATTTGGCTTACACTTCCACATTGCTGTTCATCAGTGAAGGAACTCAGGACAGGAACTGAAACAGGGCAGGATCCTGGAGGCAGGAGCTGATGCAGAGGCCATAGGGGTGCTACGTACTGACTTGCTTCTCTTGGCTTGCTCAGCCTGCTTTCTTCTAGAACCAAGACCACCAGCCCAGGGATGGCACCACCTACAATGGGCTGGGCCCTTTCCCACTGATTGTTAATTGAGAAAATGCCCTACAGCGGGATCTCATGAAAACATTTTGATAACTAAGGCTCCTTCCTCTCTGGTGACTCTAGCTTGTGTCACGTTGACACACACAACCAGCCAGTACAGACTGGAAGGGTGCAGAAGTGATGGCTGCCAGAGGTGGGGAAGAGTGGGAGGTGGGGAGGGAGAAAAAGAGGGAGGAGAGAAAGATAGAGGGATGGACACACACCCTAGAGAGCCCACTGGATATCTCTGGGGCTCCCTGCATTTCAGCTAAGACACCTGCGTGGCTAGGGCTACCTTTCTGAGGTAAGATGTCTTAACAAAGCCGCGGACACTATCTGCAGGTTGTGTATGCCATCCTGGAAGGTCATTCACTCCATGGTCTCCTCTAAGGGTCACTGGTCGTGCTACAGCTCACCCTATGCCGTGTCTTATTTAATTCCTAGGTTTTGTTACTCGCGTTTTACAAATGAGGATACCCAGGCTCAAACAAACACTCAAACTTCACCCAAGCCACACAATACAGAAAAGCTAGACTTTCTGCTTTGTTCTGCCCAGTTTAAGTGCCAAGCACTCAGGAGTCTGGGCACAGGGCTTCCACTGAAAGCAGCGTATATATACTCCGGGTCACCCGGTAACTCAGCCAACCCCAGAAAAGCTTGAATCAGGTGCCCTGGGAAGGGCGCCCACCACGCTGGATTTGGGTTGGAGGCTGGCTCACCAACCCAGCTGGCCACACTGCAGGCCTCAGTTTCCCCTTTTGGCCAAGGTAAAGGGAGGATGGCTAGAAATCAGGGGTCCTGCTCGGCCCGCCCCCGGGGGTGGGGCTGGGAGTGGTCACGTGGAGGGGCGCCGCGCCCGGGGTCTCCCGCCCAGTTGGTGTCGGGAGGCAAAGCCCGGAGTCAGCGAGGACGCCGTGAAGGCTGCAAAAGCGCCACCACGCCGGGGTTGCTGAGGTCACGGTCGCCGGGGCCTGAGGGCACCTGCTCGCTCTTCCGCCCGCTCCCTGATAGCTGTGCGGGTGGCTGGACCCGCAGCGGCGATAGCGACGACAGCAGCAGCAGCGAGGAGTACTGGAGCGCGGGCAGCAACAGCAGCAGCCACGCCAGCAGCGACACCATGGATCTGTCTTTTATGGCCGCGCAGGTAATCCGGAATCTTCCCCACGCTCCCTGGGTCGCCAAGTTTTCAGAACCCCGGCCTCGCTGCCCTCCCCGGTGCAGCTCTAGCGTCCGTGGCCAGGTCCTTTGTCCCGAGCCCGGCAGGCAGTCCCACCTGGTGCGCGTACCCGGGGCCGGCAGCTTGACTGTCCTGGGTGGAGTGGCTCATGTTCCTCACACACCGAAGGTGGAGTGGAGCTGTCTCCCTTGAGCACCCCACTTTTGAACAAGACAGCTCTGAGGAGCCTGGGGAGCTGAAGTCGCCCCTCCCAGCCCAACCCCCACTCACTATGTTAGCCCTGGAGCCCCGGGACTGGCAGAGGAGAACTGAAGAGGAGCTGCCCTCCCTTCTCTGGTTTTGCTTGGCACTGGCACTCTGTCACTTGTTGGTGTCCTCGGGGCAACCCCCTTTCTCTCCACTGTGGGTAAGACTTTAGCCTCTGCTACTTAGGAAGACGGTGACAGGGCTTTGTGACAGAGATGGATGGTTTAATGCATTTTTGCTTTGTGCTGGGTTTGAGCAGGAGACCACCACCCTTCCCTGCACACAAAGCAGGCTCCTTGTGGCAGATATACAAATGACCTCTTGGTGCCTGGTGGTCTTGGAGGCAGGAGAATGCCTTGGAGTTGTGATCTTAGGTGTTGATTCTCTTGAGCCAGAACAAAGGCACACACCCTTTTCTGGGGTTATGCATGGTTTTTGGGAAGACCCAGCGCTGGCCACAGTGTGTGGCTACAGAGAGAGGCTACATTTGGCTGGACACAAGTCCCAACCCACAAGACGTTTCCCCTTCTGTGGCCATGTGAGGAAGCCAACTCTGTTGCCTCCTGGGTGTGTATGTCCAGGGCCCCGATCCCTGTTGCTTGTCTCTAGCAGCAATGTTTGAAGGGACACATTCCTTTCTCCAAACTTCACCCGTGTGGTGGAAGTCTGTTAAAACATAACATCAAAAGCCAGGCTGGCTATAGAGGGTTGCTCCCAAATGGGAGCATCAAAGGACACAAAGTCTCCAAGTTAGCTCTGGGGAATCAAGACCAGGATTGGGCAGTCTTTCGCAAGCAAGTAATAACCCTAAGGACTCTGACGACTCCCCCTTTTTGGCTGATGACCCATCTCATATTCTACCCGTATGTAAATATTGTCATGCGGAACAGTCACTGCCCTTGCAGATGGAAGGGTGTTTAGCTAAGCTGTAGCTGAAGTGAGGAGAGAAACTCACAGGATGTCTGTGGCTGCCTTCCTCTCTGCATCCCACAGAAGCTGGAGTTTCCATGGTTACAAGAGAAATTGATCATTACTGGCCAACCTTGGGGCTGGCTAGAGCATCCACAGTTGCTATGGTGACTTGACAAAACATACAGGGCTTTTCTGTACCTGTGGGCAGAGCCTGCGGGAGTCTGTTTTTTTGGTGTGGTGGCAGTGGGGTTTCGCTTTTGTTGTTTTTGTTTTATAATTCACATTTCACGTGGCCAGTTTGTTCCTGCCAAAAGGTGGCACTGATTGCATGCTCAGCACCATGCTGACTAAAAGGAGCGGAAGTGTGAATAGGCACACCAATAGAAGGCACACTAAGGTTTTTAGAGGACCTACTGTGTGTGAGCTCTGGCAAGTCCTCTTAGCCTGGATTTCTGTAGGTCAGCATGCCAGATGGCAGGAATAATTTACCCAAGGGCATGCAGTTCGTGAGGAAGGGAGCTGATTTTGAATCTAGACCCTAGGCTCTGCAGAGATTCTGGGGTTTCCCCATGTGGCCTCACTTTGGGTACACATTCCAGGATGGCTTCTCTGTCCCCTTCCTCTGAAGGTGCTGGCGTCATGGTGCCTCCTGCTCTGCATAGCCTTGGTTGTGCTCAGTATCGCTTCCTGCTATAGATCTGTCTCACCAGCCCCACGGGATGAGAACTGATACTTTTTTCAACAGGAAGGACCTAGCAGTATGTGGGAGCGAGCACTTAGCCTCTGTACACCCGGGGCGTGTGTGTGTGTGTGTGTGTGTGTGTGTGTGTGTGTGTGTGACAGCCCCTGCTTGTGTGGCAGTGAGCACCCACCGAGAAATCTTGGTACTCCATCTACTCCTTCAGCACCTTGTGTCATGGACCCTGTCGTGCACTAGGACAGGAATGCTGAGGGACAGAGTCGGATGGGACCTAGATCCCTTCTCTGGGTGCTTCCAGGGTATTGGTCAGACTACTAGGACCCAGAAGAGACATAGATCAAGTGCTGAGCCCAGTGCTGAACTGGCATGCAGTAGTTCTTCAACAGCCTCGATTGGATGGTTGGATGAGGATGATGAGATGCGTGCTTGGGAAAAGACACTCAGACCAACAGAGAGTGAATGCAAGTTATTGGATGTGAACACATCACTAGGACTTTGAGAAGGAGGCGGTGGTCATACTAGGACAACAGGTAGATAGATGGTCCTGAACTGAGCAAGCCCGGTAATGAGCCTTCTTGAGAAAGCAACATGTAGTTACCGAGGCCTGGGACGTATTCAGAGCCCTTCAGCGAACTGGAGGACAGGAGACCCAGTGGGTCAGAGAGTGAGATATCAGGGCCAGGTTACAGCAGGTGCTGATTGGCAGATGGGAAATCTGGGTTGAAGCAGAAAGCACTGGGAACCATTGTGGGTTCTTCAGCACAGGAATGGTGTATATGCCTGGGGAAACCCTCTCCCCCCATCCCATGTGGAAAATGGAAGCTGGAAGAATGGGTGGGGTCAGGAGTGTTCCCTGAAGAAGGGAATGAAAGCAGCTCCAGCCCTGGCTTCCTGCCGTCAATGCTAAATAGGGTTCCTGCCAGCATCTTCACATGGTTCAGAGCAGGTAAGACTTTGGGAGCATTTGGGGCTGCAAACAAGTGTTTAAATGATACCCTATCAGCTGTGCAGTGTGGACATGGTTCCCCAATGCAGAGGTGTGCCCATCCTGCTCTATATGAGAGAGAGAGAGAAAGAGAGAAAGAGAAAGAGAGAGAGAGAGAGAGAGAGAGAGAGAGAGAGAGAGAGAGAGAGAGAGAATGAATAGTAGAGGCTCGGCTCAGAGGTTTAGGATAGAGCCCCTGGACCACAGCCTGGGGCACTTGGCCACCTTTACTCCACCTGGGGAATATTCCACAATCCCTCACAATCCCTGGATCCTGGAAACTTTGGGATATGCGCAGGACATCCATATCTCTGTAGCCAGAGGTAACCAGATGGGCAGGGCCACCAAGACTCCAGAGCTAGAGAGAGAGGTATGGTCACAGATCTCTAGGACTGAGCCTAGATTCTTACACTCAAAAATGGCTACCGCCCAATCTATCCCCTCAGGAGCCCAGACCTGCTTTCCTCCCCTTCAGACCTGGACCGCCATCGTGACTTTCCAGACCATGTTCTAGACTTTCCCGAGCATATTGATTTTTTTTTTGGTGGGGGGTTGTTGTTTAGTTTCAGTTTACATTCCAACCACAGTTCTCAGCCCCACCCCTCCTCCCGAGCCCCCTCGCTTCCTCCCCCCAGCCCATCCACTCCTCCCAACAGGTAAGGGCTCCCATGAGGTGTTAACAAGTCTGGCACATTAAGTTGGGCAGGACCAAGCCCCCCTCCACCTCGTGGCCTTAAAGCCGATCATGGCATCTCCTCATAGGAATGGGCTCCAACAAGCCAGCTCATGTACCAGGGATAGGGCCTGGACTCTGGAGCATATTGTGGGACATATCATATTGGTGAAACTCAGGAACCTCTGACATCGGCTTCATGGAGTGGAACAGGGAGGTGCGGCATTGTGGTGTCCTTGAGAGTAAGGGCCTGGTCTGCAGGTGTGACAGACACTGGTCCCCATGTGCCAGGCATACACACAGGCCTGGAGCAGTGGCACTTCTGTGTTTTAGAGAAAAGTGGAAATGGTGATGTTTGCATGCAGTCAGTCTCTCTCTCTCTCTCTCTCTCTCTCTCTCTCTCTCTCTCTCGTGTGTGTGTGTGTGTGTGTGTGTGTGTGTGTGTGTGTGTGTGTGTGT